CAGCTGGTTTTCCTTAGATAGAAAACTTTGAATCAACCTGACTGGATGATCTGGTTGAATTGTTTCTGTAAAATGACCTCAGATTATATAATGTGAATTGGAGCTATAGAAATAAACTGAATAGAATTGAATCCCTATTATTTCCACAATTTCAAATAGGGAGTGTGTCTGTCTGTCTGTCTGTCTGTCTGTCTGTCTGTCTATAGATGTATTAAGAAAAATATGAAAAACTGAAAGTAACAAATTTTGATGACCCAATAGTTGGTGGATCCTTTTCCTTTCAGCTGTATCTGTGATTATTTCCTTCCTTCATAAGCAGAAAAATAGAATATTTCTTTTTTTTCCCCACAGATCTTTATGTTGAAATCATTGATTCACTGATTTTTCATTTATTTATTGTTTGGGCTTTCAGTCTTGTGGGTTTCTTATATTTCGAATAAAAATCTCTCACCTTTGTGGCTGTTCTTGCAGCTCTGATTTGACTTCCATAACAATTCCCAAGTCTTGCTAAATTACAAAAGACAAAAGTTCATGTAATGCATAATGTGTTTTTTCTTATAAAATGTTTCTGAGATATACTTTGTCGCATGTTACATATCCTAGTAAATCTGTTGTATCTTTAAGTCTGCAGCTCTCTCTGCTGAAAAACACATTAAGATGTCTACTAATATAACAACGCCAGAGAAAATCTTATTTTCAAGTCTCCTCTGTATGACTTTAAAATCTCAGTAACTTGGCATCTAGACCCTCTGCAGGAAATTGCAAAACATTTCAGTTCAATAAGATGGAGAAATTCCAAGTTGTTTATTTGTCAAAAGCTCCGTATGTATTACAGCTTTTTCTGTGGCATTATTTTCTTTACCAACCCTTCTCATAACTGCAGGTTTGTATTGACTGGGCGTGGCAGTGATTAGGATCACCAGTCATATCTCAAAGTCACAGATCCTGAGCCGTAGAGTAACTCAGATCCAGTGACAGCTGCATCCGAGTTTCTCTTGGTTAAATGAGTCGTTCACAAAGCGACGCCTGTGTGATGATCTGCGGCTGCTTTGCTGCTCCTTCCATGATGTTACCCAGCAGAAAAACTCCTGATAAATCTTCATATATTGCATGAGGTGGTGTAGCGGTGTTTGAGCATCTTCTGCTCTGTTACTGTGTCTGTAAGGCTCCTGGGCGGACCGAACAGCTCTGCATGAAGCAGCAGCCCATGGCAGGGCCCTCCAGTTGAAGCAGCTGCTGGAAGAGGGGGCCCCCGTTAACGTGGTGACTGTGGATAACATCACGCCGCTACACGAGGCCTGCATACAGGCCCATCCAAACTGTGCCCGCCTTCTGCTGGAGGCCGGAGCTCAGGTGAGTCCAGCTCCAGTCTCACTGCTCCAACACAGAACAGCAGCTGGTTCTGGTGGGAAAAGGCGCATCATCTCTGGCTCTTCCAGGTGGATATCCGGACCATTCATGGCAGTACTCCTCTCTGCAGCGCCTGTGCTGCTGGAAGCCTGGAATGTGCAAAGCTGCTGTTGGAGTACGGAGCCAAAGTAAACCCATCTCTAACAGCACTGACTGCATCTCCGCTCCATGAGGCCTGTATCCACGGTAACCAGCCCCCTCCCACAGGAAACCTATACTGGGATACGCCATTCAGTAATGATTGTATTCCTTCCAGGTAATGCTGACGTCGTCAGGCTGATGATAACCAATGGTGCAAAGCTGGAAGCCTTCGATATCCACTTCGGCCCCCCTCTTCACATAGCGTGCGCTAAAGGGCGCTTGGATTGTGTCAAGGAGCTGCTAAAAGCAGGTTGGTGAAAATTCAGAGGCTAGAAGGTTCAGTAGATCTGAACTGGCTGGTTGTTAGTGATCCAACAGCATGATGGTGAATATGATGCCGTTCAACCGAAGGTCCTAGTTAGTAAATATCCATTATTTGAATGAAAAGGTTTTTCTGACATCGTCACTGAGACAGGAAGTAGAAAAAGTTTTTTGAAATGTCCTGAGCGTCGGACACAAAGGTGCCCAGATGCCTCATTGGGTGGGTTGGCCTTTTGCTGCCATCCGCCATGTTGGAGGAGGCAGACCTGCTGTTAGACTCTTATTCTGTATTAGAGGGACTTTGATCTCATAACATACTTTATATTCATTTTAATATTACCAATAGTATCAGTAATATCTTCTCAGTTCTCCTGAAGTTCTGGCTTTTTTCTCATGATGTTTTTCTCCTAATTACTACGTAATTCTCGCAAGAGTTATTTCTGTCTTGCAATGTCGCCACTTTTGTCTCGTACTTTTACGTATTACTCATGACTTTTGTTTCTTGTAGAGCTAGTAATTTGGTTCCCTTTAATGCGCCCCTAATAGTTCCCCCTAGTTCTGTGTCTATCCCAGATATTCAAATGTTCCCATCTGACGCATAAAAAAAATTAAGACCACGAATTTGGGATTAAAAGCTAAAGCTAGCAGCTCTGGTTTGTACTATAAAACGATTGGTTGATTTCCATGCAGCTCAGCAGAGGCTCCTCTCTGCCCCGTTCAATATGGCGATGATGTCACAGGTCAAGCCAACGGCCAAAAAGGCATCTTAGTAATGACGTCTAGGCTCGTACATCTATCAGAGCTTCCTTTGTGGCTCGTTAAGAAAAGGAGGCCATCCACCTTAACTCAGGTGACCAAGGTTTTACAAATGCTCTTTATTCCGATCAAAACAATAAAACTAATTATACGCCACGTCACGTTGAGCCATGGTGGTGGAGGTGTCATGATGTGGGAATGCTTAGAAAAAAGGCTGGTCCTATTTGATGGAAACTTGGGTGAGCATGGAGGGCACAAGATTTCTATTCACGTAAAAAAAAAGTTCTAAATTAATTTTATTATTTTATTCTGTTCTACCTGCTAACGGTGGAACAGAGGAGTTGGTTCAGCTGATTGATGTACTTTTCTTTTTGATTCTTCTGAGGCCTCGTTCACCTTCGAAGGAGGCCTCTGATTCTGCTCCCGTTCTTCATACAGGCGCCGACGTGAATTCGGTGAAGTTCCATGAGACGGCTTTGCACCACGCAGCTCGAGCCAACATGGTGGACATGATGGAGCTGCTGGTAGAGTTTGGAGCCGATGTTTTTGCCAGTGACAATCTTGGAAGAAAGCCCATCGATTACACAGACCCGGCTTCGCCCTCTTACTCCTGCCTCCAGTTTTACGAAAGTAACTTTAACTAAATTATTTTAGTTCCTCGCAGCCTTTTATAGCTTTTCCTTTTGAAGAAAAAGAAAGTAGACTAATGGAGATGTTTTGTTGCTTCCAGGTAACCCTCTGAACCTCCAGCAGCTTTGCAGGATTGCGTTGAGGAGGATGCTGGGTACCAAAGCCTCAGAGGTCATGGAGCAGCTGAAGATCTCCCATCGCATCTACAACTACCTCCAGTTCTCTGATCTCCTGTGAACCAAAATATTCATTCAGTTTGTTGGAGTAACACAATGTTACACTAAAAAATTTATTTAAAATACAGTCTTAAATTTAATTATATGAATCATGTTTATTAATTTGAGGCAATTTTCACATTTTAAGAGATATGCTTCTTACAATAAGTGTAAAATTAATATAACAAAAGTTTATTTTTTTGTCAATCTTGATTTAAAATTGTCTTTATATTTACTTTTATTGGGGCTCATGATTCATTTAGACAAAAAGCTGCATAATGAATCATATTTATGGGTTTAGGAGTGTTTGGAAAATGACTTCATGTTGGTGGAGGATCTATGGTGATGTGGGGTTTTCTTTCCCAAAGGACTTGGGAATGTTGTTGGAGTGGATGAGTTATAGATATAGTAGCTGTTTTATTTCCTGGTGGATCATCACAATCAGTGGTCCTCCTAACTGTCAATCATTATGGTGATATGTTTACGTAGGGCCGTCCTATGAGCTCGTCTGTTTTTCTGCGTATGCACACTTTCAGGCGTATATCTGTGGTGAGCTACGGTTTCAGACAGTCGTTGAAGCTCACCTTTCTCCACGCGGTTCTTTGAAAATGGCCGAGGTTCCTAAGAGGAAAAAGTGTCTACGAAGTGGATGAGAGGAAAATAAAGGCCTCAGAAGAGAGAAACCAGACCAGAGTGTTTCTGGGAGATTTTTTCACACGATGGCGTCCGCTGAAAGCACAGGTAGCGCTTCCCACTGATGCAGCGGTAGTGAAGTTTCTACTCGACAGGTAAAGTTTGGCTAATTGAAACAAGCAAACTGGCTGCTCTGTGCTCAGTGGAAAAAGCTCAGTGGAAATGGCGCCGAGCAGTGGTGAATATTGGAAGTGCAGTTTAAAATAATCCAGTCTGTGAATAGTTCCGTCTGAAATGAATGAAAATAGTTTTAATGGTTATAGAGTCAGATATGTGGCGGTAATGTTTGGTATATCTAAAGGTTTTATCTGTCCCTGTTTAAATGGGTTTGGCTGATATTTAAGCTCAGATTCCATCATCTCTGCAGGGTGGGAACTATAAATCTGATATCTGAAGCTCCTCAGAAATGTTATTAGCAAACAGAACAGTAGGGAGACGTTCAGCATCCATTCTGTTGCTAAGCGACAGAGCATACAAGTGCTGAAAGCTGAAGAAGGCAGTACCACTGATCTCTATTTATTGACTGGATTACTGTCAAACAGCCAGTGTTAATCAAAACAGACAAATATTAAACAATCTGCAACATCCTTTAAATAATTTGCAATAAATAGTCTACAAAAGTGAATAATTTAGGCAACTTAATTTAAATGGTTCACTATCCATTACATATGTAATATGTTATAACAGCAATAATGTAATAAATACATGCATATTACATGTACTTCGTCACTTTTATTTTATTGTGATGGATTTGTATAATATGTTATTCAACATGATTTATAGATTTATTGACTTCATGATGACTATGCAATGAAATGGGCCTTTTTTTAAAAATTCTTAATTAAAGTAATCTACTGATGCGATGAAACAGAGAACATCATCATTGTTCGATGCTGTAGCGCATGGATTGTTTACATTGCGACCAGTCTAATTAGGGAGTACCAATATGGCGGCAGGTGGATTCATTTGGTGGTTATTTTGTTTCAAAAGTATTTGTGCATTATAAGTGTGAATTTGAAGTTGTAGAGAGAGTTATATTCTCACAAGTACAATTTTTTTCTTCACTAAGTTTTTAGGTTGAATTTGTGACTCAATAGTAAGAACAGCTCTGGACCAAAAACTGAGAATGTGAGGTTTTTGATGAGCAACTTGTTGAACAGAATTTATCTTCTTGTACTTAAAATTTTTACTTGTGAATTTTTTTTTATCCTCCACAAATCAAACTTAGAGTGTAACCAAAATAACCTTCATAGCTTCTACTACCACTGTGGTAATGGTGCCTTTGTTCTTCCTTTTGAAGTTAATTTCATGTTTTATTTTTCTGATTTATAGTTCTTATATTTTGAAGTTATTTATTTTCTGGTGTTACCGCTCATACCAGCGGCTCAGGTGTTCTCCATCAGGTAAGAAAAAGGACTGGTTGCCGCGGAGACTCCTCCAAATGTTCGCCGTCGAGGAACGGACGGTTGTTGGGATGCCAGTGGCTGGATCGCCGCTGTGATTCGCCCCCCGGACCAGTTTATCTTAAACAGACTGATCCATTGACTCTGTTGCTCCTTACTGCCCTGCATTTTCTCTTTTTAGTGAATTTATTATTTTAAATAAATTGTTGTAACTTTAACCGGCTCGTTCTGCACAGTCACTGCAGCTTTTTCATAAATTTATCTCTCAGGTGCCAAACTACCAACAGGCATCAGCATCCAGTGAATAAACACAGATCAGTGGTTTGAACCCACAGCCAGATTCTCCATCCTTATATTCACGCACCTCCAAGGACCGGGTCTACATTCGGGGAGACCCGGTCCTTGGAGGATCCAGGTAGACCCGGTCCTTGGAGGATCCGGGTAGACCCGGTCCTTGAAGGATCCTGGTAGACCCAGTCCTTGGAGGATCCGGGTAGACACGGTCCTTGAATGATCCGGGTAGACCCGGTCCTTGAAGGATCCTGGTAGACCCAGTCCTTGGAGGATCCGGGTAGACCGGGTCCTTGGAGGATCCGGGTAGACCGGGTCCTTGAAGGATCCTGGTAGACCCGCTCCTTGGAGGATCCGGGTAGACCCGGTCCTTGAAGGATCCGGGTAGACCGGGTCCTTGGAGGATCCGGGTAGACCGGGTCTTTGGAGGTCCAGCCTCTAGAATCAAACACACCCACAATCTCCTGGAAAAGATCACCTCCATGGTGAAAAAAAGGAAACTAGATCCCCAGCTTCTCTTCTCATCTCACTTTTTCGGAAATATTCTTAAAAAACTACAAGTACCAAGCTGCCCTGCGGAGGAGGAGGGAGGGGTGTGTCACGTGACGGTGCAGCGCGCGAGCTCCATAGGCGGCTGTTTACAAACAATCAGCTGTTATTGCCGCTTCCTGTGGAAGACAGAAGCAGGATGGAAGTGGAGGTTTCTCAGTCCTGTTACGTTGGAGACATCGGTGAGTGGAGGACCTGCAGCGGCCAGACCGCAGGCCTGAGCCGCTGTCACAGTGACCACCCTGTCTGGGCTGCTAGCTAGCCATAACGAGCTAATATCTGCTAAGTGGCTAATATATCTGCTAAGTAGCTAATATCTGCTAAGTAGCTAATATCTGCTAACTGGCTAATATTTGCTAAGAAGCTGATCTCGCCCATTGACACCAGCACCCCTGGCGACCCCACTTAGGAGTAGAAAATGAATGGATGGATTTTGAATAAAATCCAGCTGATATAAATGTCCTGCTGAAGGTTCCTCTGGTTTGTGAATTTTGTTGCAAATCCCACATTTTCTGGAAGGGGTTCATTTTATCAGCATTTTTTGTCACAAAATGAATGACTTAATTCTTCTAAACTTCAATTGATGCTGTTTTTTTTAAGGCTGATTATTTGTCATCAGTCTAACCGATCCCTGATATGTGCAGCCAATTTTTTTAAAACCAATTTTAAGAATGGCACTATGATGATAAAGTTAAGAATATAAAAAATAATTAAAAATAATTGGTTATTGATCTCACATTGGAGAAATTCCCTCTCTGCATTTAACCCCTCCCCTTGGGGAGCAGTGGGGGGTTAAGGGTCTTGCTCAGGGACCCAGAGTGGCAGTCTGTGGGAGTGGGGCTCGAACTTAAACACTCTGGATTCCAAGCTCTATGCCCTAACCACTACTTCACTCACTAATTTTAAGAGAAAATGGTTATTAATTAGTAAAACAAAACAGGAATCAATCGATCTCAAGTTATTTCTGCTGAGCACTCAGGAATCCACAAACATGAGAGAAATAATGTCCGGCTGATGTTTCAGTCTTCCTGTTTGCCTGTGATGTTATCAAGCTTCACATGACGAAACCAGATCATTTCATTTGTGTCTTCAGGCTGCTGGGCTGAGAGAACGGAGGTCCACAAGGCGGCGTCCCTTGGCCACGCCTCTCACCTGCAGCGCCTCATACAGAGCGGCGCTTCGGTCAACGTGGTGGCTGTGGACTCCATCACCCCGCTCCATGAGGCCTGCCTACGGGGGCAGGCCCAGTGTGTGCAGCTGCTGCTGGACGCCGGAGCACAGGTGACCCTGTTGGGGGGAGGAGGGCATCTTATATGGATCTAAATGATAAATCTACAAAATTGTTTTCAATTCATGATTATTAAATTTTTTTAACCATTCATTAATGTGATGTAATGTAACTTCTGTCCACTAGAGGGCGTCACTGTTCTCTATTGAGGAGAAATCAGCACAGAATTCTGCATGGCTCTGATTTTTCTAAACTATATCCGGCGCACCGGTAGACTTCAGAACCCAGACCCGACCCGTTACCCGCATCTGAACCCATTTAAAACCCGGCCTGGACCGCACGGACCGGTAGACTTCAGAACCCAGACCCGACCCGTTACCCGCATCTAAACCCATATAAAACCCGGCCTGGACCGCACGGACCGGTAGACTTCAGAACCCAGACCCGACCCGTTACCCGCATCTAAACCCATATAAAACCCGGCCTGGACCGCACGGACCGGTAGACTTCAGAACCCAGACCCGACCCGTTACCCGCATCTAAACCCATTTAAAACCCG